CTCCGCAACTTTGACACATGGCTCCTGATCATCTAAGAATTGTCCTGACACATTCAAAATTTGGATTTTTGGAAAAAATTTGTTAACAGCCCAGACCAGAATCAAAATAGTGTCGAGTTCTCATATTTCGATCAATATACAATTATTGAAGGCTCTGATATGAGAAACGAAAGTGTCGGGATAATTTTACGACAATTTTGAACACTCTAGCAATCGACAAACTCGCATTTGAGCGGGATAAAGGTAAAAAAAGTGTCTTATGCGCTTCTATGCTAAAACGATGGGAATACGAGGCCTCGGAGTGGAAATTTAATTGACCTGGAAATCACAGATGGCGCAGGGGGTCCCTCTGCAGTCAATTACGGCCTTAGAAACAATGAATTCAGGGGATTTCTGGAGTTTTACTTCGATTTCTTTATAATTATTGCACGAAAACGACAGATCGAAATATGAGAGCGCGACGCCATTTTGGTTCTGGTCTGGGCTAAGTTAATAAATTTGTTTAAAAAATGAAAATTTTGAAAGTGTCAGGATAATTCCTAGGTGCTCAAGAGTCATGTGTCAAAGTTTTAGACAGTTCTATCCAATACCCTTAAAAAAGTGTCTTATTCGAATCAATTGATTTGGGGGGGTTTCATTTCACCTTAAATCGTACGTATGGGTTATAGTAAAGAATTAAAAAAGGCAATTGAGTAAGGTACGAGAAAGTACCTACAGAAATGGTTAAGGATAAAAATGTGAATGCCCGTGTTTTTGACGATTAATGCCTTCGGTTGGCTGAACACGTAGATGGGTGATATTACATGGGGTACTGGTGTTACTTTTCTATAGGTGCTCGGTTTCCAATGATCATTTGCGTACACAAATATTCGACGAGGTCTTTCATCGACTCGCAGTTTTCATTTCTTCGGTAAGACCTTGGTAAAGTCACAAATGTCGTGAAAGACGTATCCTGGTGACGTATCCTGGTGACGTATCCAAGTATTACGTAAAAAAATGTACAATATAATCTTTTATTGCGATCATAATCCACATTGTAAATATAATATTAAGGATCACTCTTGTAAAGGTGCTTTTCAGCGATATCGTAAATCGTAGTATCTCATAGTGCTATGCTGTACTTTGTGATTTATGATAGCCATGTGAGACTAAAATTAATTTTTGACGCGGATTTGAGAAATGTTCTACACGCGGATTTGTATAGAAATTTGCATATTTTTGAATGGGACGTGGAATGAGTTAATTCTTAGAGCTATAACTCCTTAAGTTGTAACATAACGCTACAGCTCTTATTGTTAGATAAAGCAAGGATAATTATTCTACCCAAGTGTTATCTGAAAAGGGTTGTGACGTCATTTAATAACTAGGAATATAATTAACGTTTTTCCTATCTTGACGTTATTGATCCTGGGTCAACGCAATTCCTCGATGCAAATCGAGCATTTCTGGGCTATTAATCGTTTATACGATCAAACCTGTGTACGGTTGACGTACGTACCTCCAAACTCAAGGAACACCGCGTAACTGAGATTACCCCGTGTGCAATCGTGCGCGAGAATATATACCCGCTCAAATATGTCAAGTTCATGTGCACAACTCCTTATATACATGTATGTATGCTACTGATCGCTGCACATAGATCGTGAGTACCATTGACCGTGTACGCAGCTGAGCGTATGCAGTGTTAATTACGAGAGCAATCAACCCTGCATTCTATCCACGTGTACGATCGCATCCATGTAAAATGGGAAGAGTACCCGATCGATAGTCTCCTGAGGAAACTAGATCTAAATTGTACAGTTGAAACAATCCTGACGGTTCAATAAACGTCCTCTTGACGGACGATAATTACAATTCTCCGACGGGGACTTATTAGTCACCTGATCACTTGAAGAAAAGTTGGCTTCAAATTAATTTGTTCACCAATAATAAATTCTAAAAATATTCTCTGTTAATAAGACGTTTCTTTAAAGAATATTGTTTTAAGTTATATACTATACTTTAAGAAATTGTGCCACGTTTGTATTTGATGTCACTTCCGAACGATTAACGCTGTCTTGTCTTTTTATTTCGTTTCATTCGCTTTCAATTTAAGTGTTTTCACTTTCAAACTGCTCAACAATATCAACAAGAACATATTAATATTATTCCGGTAGTAACGATTAAATACCGTACGATAATATCATTTCTTCTGGATGTTGTTACGCAGCGGCTGAGTGAGTAGCGAGGTCGGGGCATTTTAGAATACTTCTCTGCAAGTAGGACTATATGAGGCGGAGATAACTTGTGTACATGCGTAACCAGTAGTTTTAGAGAAAAAAGAAGGGGTAACCCGAGGGGGGTCAATCTCTCTGGTGGGATCGACAGATCTCGAGTCTTGAAAAAATGAGCGACTGGTTTCACCGAGAACCTAAGAAGGTTACTAGACAATAAGACCTAGACAATTGATATGGAATTCAATGAAGCGGTTATGTTTAAAGAGGAAATATGCAATGAGTTACAATTTAATACTGTGGTTACTGTACCGTAAAGGGCTATGATATCAAACTGTCACAAGCGACTGCAAGGACCCCGAAGACTGGGATATCCTGCTTATTGTTTCTGATAACGCGAAGCAGATGTCATAACAGTGCGCACGGTTGAGTACTAACTATAAGATGATAAGTACTAATATGTGCTTTTGCGGGAAACTTCGCAAGACATATATTGGCTGGCTTTTAACCCTGCTCTAATTTTAACAAATTAGAATTCGTGTTTGTTGGGTAACTGCAACTTCAAATTATTCCCCGTAGAATGGAATCGATGTTCTTTTATACACTGACTTATTTACGATTGGCAGATTTTAAGAAGAAATTAAAATGAGATTAGAATGGCGGTCTTTATCGATCGGTGATCGAAGTGTCTTATTCGAATCGACTGATTTGAGGGGGGTTTCCATCTTCATCTTAATGACGTGATAAAACCCACTGTTATGTCACTAATGTGCTTCTTGTATCATCGGATTGTGAAATTTTTAACTCATCTTCGAGTAATCCAGGTAACATTCTACTGCACTTTTTAGTTGCAGATAACTGTGTATAGCTACGTTATACTGCCTTATCGTAAAAGCGTTTGCTTCGCCTTTGTTACCTTTATTTTGTCCTCCATGCTTTTCTATATGTTGTTTAAATAAAATAAATAATCAAAATAATAGTTAGATATAATTAGAACTTTTTCAATTAAAATACTACTACTTAACGCGATGTTTATACTATTTGCCATATGAATTCGCATGTTTCAGTGCTTCAGATTTCATTGTCTTCTCTATTAGGTGTCAATTTGAAATATCTCCTTCCCCTATTGTAACACCTAAATACCTGATCGTAGTCATATACCTGGCATGTTTTATTTAATATTATATTTATTTAAATGTTTTACAAATTTTCGTTCGAGGAAATTCCTCCAACGATTATTCGTCATTGAAATTTCACGATTTGGAAAACCAGGTGGGGCTCGTTAATGCAATTATGCGACAAAGTTTCTTCAACTTTAAAAAATATTTTCCCATATAAGAGCAGTTTTTACTGTTTCTTGCTTATGAGAAATGTATGAACTCGTCCCGGAGGAAACGCGTTCAATTTATGACAGTCGACCGACCGATCGACTTCTCTTCAACCGTCCAATTGACGTCGATTTCTAATTCTTGCATCTCCAAGACGCCGCGTCGGCGACGCTTCGGAGTTTCGCGACCGACCAGATAGTGTTCTGCAAATAAGCGACCGATAAGGTGCGACACAACGATGTCGCGGCATTGTTCTCCCGATGAACTCCTTTCCCTCGCCGATAATGGCACGAGCATTGACGATTTCTGCACAAGCTCGATACCGACCAAGTTCCTCACATAGTGTGCCATATTACGTAGCATTAGTGCTCGTGTCGCTGGCGCACGAATATAGGTGAAGAAATATTCACAAAGGGACAAATGCAAAATGATCGGAGGTCCATGGGCGGCCCTACTCCAGGGATCACGGGCGAGAAAACGTGAGCATTGTTTTAGAAGACGTGATAATTGCCTAAACAACTGATACGACTAAACTAAGACTGTCCCTAGGAACAGTGGACAAAAAGGATACTCACAAGGAAGGTATCCCAGGTCGATCTCTCCGATTTGATTTCTTTTATAATATGTTATAGTAGACTAAAAACTAAGCGACCGTATTTTTTTTTATCTGCCATTAAACACTTTAAGGGGGTGAAACCACCATCCAAAGTAGGAACAGGAACTGCAGAAACGTAAACTTCCATGTTCATGTAATTTACCCCACGTATGAAATTTGTCAAGTAAAATACCAAGTAATTTGCTGTAAAAAAACTGCGTATATTACCTAGGGTATTTTACTTGTCCAACCCTGGTAAGGGCTCTACTGGAGAGGTTAAATATGTTCAAATGGTATGTACCTTTGCTGAAAAGTGATACGGAAGAGACCTCGAGTTTCTACTTGAATCTTTGCAGATAAATCTAATTTCTCTCAGCACTCGACGTTGTGAGTTTCTCGCTTAAAAATGTATTTGGCTCGAAACTCTACCTAGTTTTTTTATTTGAACTGACCGTCCTTCCGGAATTAGGTACTGCCTCCTTGATCCCGTTTACGTTGGACCAACGGACGACAGGGACCAACGAGGCCTTGGGGACGGTACATCATTCTGTCGCTGTACATCTGTACCACACAACACCAACACAACGCGGTACTGACCAGAAACCTGGCAGCAGCTGCGCGTCGGTTTACGAGGATTAAGAACTCCAGGATAGCTGCCGGCCATCCCGGCCCCTTCCCCTCCTTTTTACAGTTATCCCGCGACCCGATCGGGTTTCAGCAAATCTTCACTCTCGAGGACGAGCTTAACGTTCGGCACAAGAAAAACTCACGATGGGTCTTCCGGGAATGAATCGGAAGGACCCAATAACATCCAATGAAAGCACGGCAAACCGTATACTTCTAAAGATACGCTGTTATACTCACAGCGACATCGATGTACCTTAGGCAGTGTCCGAATTCGCTTTTAGTACGTAATATATACTACATACTACCCTACGTACTAAATACTTGAGACTCGACATCTCTTGTATGCATATTTCGCACATGCGCAAATGAGTGTCGACCAATGCGCGCCAATTTTAAATGTATTTTGATTGCTTTTAAAATCGTCCTCGTTATATCTGTGCCGGCATCATATAATTAGTTATTTCATGTAACATTGGAATATGCTGTGCAAAATTAATAGTTACCCCGTTTGCCTAATTTGTGTCATTATTTTTGAGAATGCGCGTTGTCCACGGCAAGTACCGTTTTCCCAGGTACAATATTCGTCGAAGACAATCAAATGCCTGTTATTATATTGCTCCATGTTCATTTGAAAAGGCGATAAGTTTAATTACATATAAAAATAAACATTCCAACTAAATAATCCGGTATTTCACGCGTTTCAAATATTTGAAGTAAATATCGTGAATTTCCTGAAATGTTCAGGGTTTTCGGATATTTTGCCGCTGCGCGATGTCTGACAATAAGTTGAATGCATTCCGCCCACCCGACGCGCCGACTGCGAGATGAGTGACAGGGTGTTTTGAAAAATGGAGAATAAATCTCCCCGTAAAGGTGATTTCCATTTAATTGATGGTGGAAGTTTTAATACTTGTGTTAATGTACTCGTTCGGGTATTGACCGCCAGTGAAACGCATGTTAAACAGCACTTTATTTCTGGCTCGATGTTTCGATGAAGTTTTTATATTGAAAGAAGGTGAGAGATTTTCAATTGCATTTATTATAACTCATTATCATAATAGTGGTAAAATAGGTATCCAATGGTGGACCAATGCAATTAAGGCAGTCAATACTCGTTTGGGTATTGATCGCCAGCGAATTAGACAGAATTTTATTTCTAGTTTGATGTTTCGATGAAGTTTTTATATTGAAAGAAAGTGAGAGATTTTCAATTGCATTTATTATAATTCATTATTATAATAGTG